CCCTACCCATCATCCCAGACTCCAAATGTCAAGCCCTGAAATGGCCTATTGAAATGATTAGTTAAAAATATCAGGCATGTATATATACATCCCCTGCCTGAACTTCAGAATAATTTGTTGTACTAGTCTTTAACAGATTAGTATCCCAAGAGAACCTGTGATCTGACCTGAAAAGCCATTAATGATCCTAGATTGTACGTTTAAAGTATCTCATAACCTGAAGACCAGACTTAATTAAGACTCTGGCATTGTAACAGAAAAAGTGCTGCAGTTATTTATCCCTTTTCTGGTACTTTATAATAGGTCAGACAAGTGCTTTTTATAGTGATAGTGAAGTTTACATGCTTTCACGTGCAGGCATAAAAAACATTTTATCTGCAAAAATATTTGAGAAATGTAGCACCAAGCAGTTGATAAACTGTGTAAGTAGTTGTAATTGTGTGTTCATTATTTCCAAGTAGGAAAAAACCATTGAGACCACACAAGGTGATGACGATAGAAAATGTTTTGTGATGTTACTTGTCCTGCTCGCGTCAAAATGAAGTCTCTGTCCCAATCCCTGCTCCATCAGCTAAGAGTTATCATTGTGAGTCCTTCTGAATTATACTTACCAATTTGGTAGAGACAAGCATGGGGTCAGGGGCAGGGATGTTTGTTTTTAAGAGAGTGAATGAAATGCCCTGGACAGGCTGAAAGAAATCCTTCCTCCTTGTATACTGTCCGGGAAAACTGATTTTTTAACCAGGCTAAGAGATTTTTGGGAGGGTTAAATAAAGCTCTCCCAATATCAAGGTTTTCATGACAATACCTGAACATAGGCAGAATTGGGTAGGACATGAAGTCCTAAACAGCTGCTGTAATACTGGTATAGAGACTTGGCCCCAGTTGAAGCAAGAACAGGAGAGAGGCAGAGGAATGCTGGAATGCTGTAACTACTTCCGTTTTTTTTGGTGGTATATGTGGAGCGCATCTACAGTTAATTTTGAATCCACAATATCTCCCTGCTTAGTGATCACCGTACATTGTGTTTATGTACTGAATAATTCAAAATTAATATCTGTAGTTGTTACTGTATTTGCTACATCCAACAGAACTGCATGTAACTAGCCGTGCAAATTTTCAGGTTTCTGAAGGTTCTAATTATGGAGCTTTTAACGTAATTTGAGATCAAGTGGAAACCTTTATAACACCAAGACTAGTCTCTAACTTTTTTTTTTTAGATATAGCTTTTTAAAGAAGTATTAGTCAACATTATCTACTGGTGCCAAGAAAAAGCAACATTGACCTAGACTGAAATTACATTTGTCTCTGAAACATTCGCAGAGAAAACCTACAAGTTTCTGAGCATCATCAAAATGAGGGAAACAACCCTTCCTGTTCTACCTCAAAGATTTGGCAGAGAACTTAAAATATCTAAAATATTGTGACAAAGCTTTCAGTAGAGGTTAGTAAATTTGCCTTTGTAAGAGTTTGGACTGCAGCAAGCATATGCATTCTTACACTTAAAAGTTAAAATTTGGTCTTCACCGAGGAAAGGGCTCTTTGTGTTACAGATGTAGTAGCCACAGCGTTTTTGAGAAACAAGGGATCGGCACAGTGTTCCCTTCACTCCTTGGACACTTAACTCTTCTCCTAAGAATCAAGGACATCTTAAGAGCATTACTTCAAAGTAAACTGGAAAAAAACACGCGATAATTCCAGTTTTGCCTGTGTAACGATTGTTTCAGATGATACGAAAAGCAATTCAATCAGAACTAAAAGGATGTTCTAGTCTACACAAAGCTTACTCAACCCTGAAGCCCCTGAATCACTGTGCCAGTTCCTGTGAATTTCCAGGGCAAGGCAATGTACCCTCAGGTAACTCATGAAAGTATTTAGACTCAAATGTTGGCCTGCCACAAGACGAAGCACAGACTCTTCCATGCCTGTTCTCAACTAGTTCAAACACATGCTTCCCATGTTTGAGAATATTCTTGAGCACTGGAAAGCTCTACAAAAAAGGTGGTTATAGGAGATGCTTGAGAAGCTTTGAGTGTGTTCTCTGTACTAGAGGCACTATCCTACCTGTACACCTGCATTTGTTAAAAATAATTTCTTTTCTCCAACTGCCAAGAAAATTCAGAGTTGAAATTCAGGTCTAGCAACAGGGTTGGTAATGCAAGCATCAAGTTGTGAGTTCTGCAACCAGAAGAAAGTAAAGGCGTAACTGTGTTGCTTATGGAGCAACTTCACCTGTGTAACAGGGAAAAATGAGAAATTCTAAAGGAAACTGTTTTGAACCTTTAAAAAAACCCAACCAGACAGACAGGGAATGACTGGGAAATAAAATATCTTTTGACAGAAGTAAAAACAAGTCCAGATACGCGTTCCTACAATATCTAACTGGAAACGTTCAACTCTATAGCTGTACTCAAGCATTACGGCCACAATAATGCCTACAACACTGTGGAATGAGGATCCAACTGGCTGAAAGTGAGGTAATAGTTTGTAATAGGTCAGAGTTCTAAAAAAGCACTTTCACATCTTACAAGTCCAAATAAAAAAAAAAAAAGGACACATTTCATACATGTTGGGCTTTCTCACCAGAACTGTACGATAATTAACTCCACACCAGGACCCCTACCACACTAAGCCTTACTCATCTTCAATTATATGCTGCAGCAAAGATTTACCAAGCGACACCTAAACTTCAGTACAATATGAAACTTGATTCTTCAAACTTTATACACACAAAATATAAAATTACTTTTCTAGGATGGGGCAGGGGAGAGGGATTCTCCTTCATGATACTTGGACTGAAAAACTAGTTTTCAGAGACTGCCACAAATATTATTCACAGTTTCTTGCTGTCAGGCTTCTTCAGATACATCAATGTAGTACACAACAATACTGTTAAGTCCAATAACTACATCGGATGGACATTCTCAGGAATAAGAGAAAACTAGTGACAAAAAATGCCCGAAAGGCCTCCTGCTAACGACATCTCGATTTTTACAGGGTTGCAGTTTGTCTATGTTACACGCCAATGTGATCTCAAAAGAGCAGCAGGAGAAAGATTTCAAACCTTCTCTCCTGTCCAAGTGATCCAAGTAACATAAGCATCCACTTATCAGAAATAACATGAGAAACAAGGCTTTTGTTACAAAGACAGCAGTGAACCACACCTTCCCACACCAAAATATGGTCAACCAGGGATTTTGGCCATGCAAACTGCTGGTCAGCAGAAAATTAAGCATGCTAATGGATAAACATTAATTCCAATCATATATTTAAAATTATCCCAAATACTACTAGTTAGCTACACTGAAAGCGCCTGTAAAAAATATGTAGTGAAAAATGTAAGAAACATTAGTGATCACTGCAGCACTTAGAGTGATACTAGTCTTATGTGATGAATCACCTCAGAGAAAATACATTAGATGGGACTTTTAAACAAAAAGTTAACATTAAAAGGTGCACCTGAATATTACAGACTAAATTTACAAAACCTACAATAAGGTAAAATATATATCTTTTGAATATTCAGCAGCTTTTTTTTTTAAATTTGTTTTTTTTTGAGAGGCTCATGAAATTTTAAAAAGGGACCACTAACTAATCTCAACCATGCTTCACAAAACAATAATGGCTATTTTATATTGCAGTTACCAATGTAATGCAATTAGTGCTTAAAAAATAATCTACTTTTTTTTTCCTTTTTTTTTTTTCCTTTTTAAACAGAGACCTTTGGAGGAAATACGGTTGTTCAAAAGCTTCTTGAAAAAGAAAGATTACCTGAATATTAAGTTATCACAGATCAAGTGTTGTGTTTAAAAGCTTTGCAGACATGAGTATTACAATCTTCAGGTCTCAGGACATTTAAACTGAGAAAGTTACACGTTTGGTTTGTTGTTGGTTTTTTAAAAAATCCACTTTCTAACCAAAGCAAATAAAGAGTACTCAACTTCTCACTATCTATTTACAATTCTTAACCTACAGTCTGAAATGACAAGACAAATTCTCTTTTAAAACTGCAGCATTAAAGGGTAGGCACACCATTCTTCTGCTGCACGATTGTCACCCACTTAAACATACACATACAAAATATTTAGGTTAGTAAAATGAGCACTCCACATACACTACAGTGACAAGTTTTATAAAACTCAACTCATGTTGCTTAAATAAAGACAACTGCAAAAGGTTAAACCTCTCTGAACAGTAAAACTGTGTTACTTTTTTTTTTAACTTGCAGCAAACTTTCTACCATAACCTCCAACAGCAGATGAAAACCACACATTTAACTGCACCTTTATTGCAATCACCAGCTAAACTGGAACGTATTGCAGAGTTTATATACTGCTACTGAGCTTAAACTGCTTTACATGTCAAGATGACAACTAGAAAGCTACGAGGAAACAGGATTTTGAGTACTAAAATATATTAAATAAACAAAAACCAAAACTTGGGGCCAAATGCCCAGTCTTTTTGAAGAATGAGCAGTGCATATTTAAAACAGCAATGGTGTGCCTAACCTTTGAAAATATCAAGTTGCTGGGGAGGGGGAGAGGCTAATAGATCGACTGTTGCAGAAGTCATTCA